CAATTAAATGATATTATTATTTATTTATTTAATTTGATGCCTCAATTTTTGTAACATGTGGGTAATATGTTTTTTGCTGCATGTCGAAGCCAATCGGGCCCCCCCTGGCCGGAAGCCCCGTATCATTGATACGGCTGATACAGCGGTAGCTACGCCCCTGCATCATATTATAATAATAACATTACTAAACAAAATTAAACATAATAATATCATTAAACAATGCAGTAGCAAGTTAAATAAGTAGTTTCGAAACTCGAATGTTGAGCGGTCTATGGAATGTCACCCCGTCCATCATCTCTATGTTCAGGCATAATTAAATACATGTATATCTTAAAATCAAATAATACCACACAATGTTAGTTAAAAAAAATTTTCTTAATTTTAAAAACATTCAATCCCCCGGGGGCGCGCCAAAAATTATTTTTAAAAATTAAAAAAACAGCTTATACAAATACCCTTCTCACAACTTTTTTTTAACTAAGTGAGATTTACAAAAATAATTATTTCAGCTCAGCCTACCGAATTTTTAATTTTTGCCGCGCCCCCGGGGGATTGAATGTTTTTAAAATTAAGACAATTTTTTTTAACTGTTCGTTTTGAATTTGGCATATTGAAAAACCATAAGGTATTAACTCACTTGTAACACAAAAAAATCTTGTTAATATATTTTAATTTTAAGCCCCTCCCCAAAGCTTTTAAAGTTCTAATATACAGCTCTTCGATTAAAAAAAAGCCGTGGTGCGCGGCGTAAAATTAAAATAAATAAATATTTTTTTTGTGTGTCTTAAGTAAGTTAATACCTAATAGTTTTTTAATATGACAAATTCAAAATTTAACTTAAAAAATATTTTTTATTGAATTTTGAGGAATTTCAACCCCCCGGGGGCGCGGCTAAATTTGTTTTTAAAAATTTGAAAAAAACAGCTTATTTGTGTACCCTTCTTACAACTTTTTTTAATTAAAAAAAATGTTTTGACTTTTTCTGCCCAGCCTACTGTACACTGTACAGTGTACAGGGTGGTCCACGTAAAGTGACCCATATACTTATCTCAGAAACTACTGGAGTCACAAACAATTTGTAAGGGAGAAATATTCACGAAGTAAAAAATAGAAATTAAAACATTTAAGGTTACAAAAATAATTCAGAAATTTCAAATAAAATTAATTATAATTCTGTATTATTTTTGTAAATAAGTAGGTACCATGTTCTATAGAACATGGTACCTACTTATTTTTATTTAAAAACACACCTTAATAACGATAATAAATGATTATATTATATATTATATTATATTATTATAATATCTCAGCACAACAATAACTTTTTGTTTTATTTAATTTTATTTTAGTAAGTTGACTGATCAATTGTACAAAAACAATTTAACCGGTCAATTCCACAACCCTAGTCTTATCTGTTGGTTGATTGTTGATTTTTATACGATTTAAATTAAATAATAAATAAAATTAAGTAATTATCTTTAATAGTGCCTATATTAAAGTACAAGTTGCAGAAGGCCACATATTCTCGCACGAATTCGAAATTTGGCCTCGAGCGACGAAGGAGCGAGTGGACGAACGAATGAGTGCGAGAATAGCCTTCTGCAACGTGTGATTTATACTATTTTCTCGATTTTAACTTTTATTTAGGTTTTTTTAATTGTTTTGTGGTCGTTGTAAGTTAGGGGATTTTTCTCGCAAAATGTCAGTTGGCAACACAAAATGACAATATTTGTTATCCTGCACAAGTACAACCTGAACTGCACTTTTTTACATTCAACTTAAAATTTTGCATTAAAATGCATTGTTGGAGCAAACTTAATATTACAAAAACAATAATAAAGGCTTCATTTTCAATAAAAGTAATGAATTTGAGGTTATTAATCAGTTTGACATTTTGGGGGTACCAATACTTAAAAACTAAATGTTACCAAAAATCGTTTAAGAATGAGCTTCATTCTTCAACGATTTTGCGTGCGAGAATATGACATTCTTACATAAAAATCGAGAAAATAATTTACAGCAAAATATTACACCCTTGGTTGTTTGAAAATTCTTAGACGTTTTCTAAATAATAATTATTACAATTTATTGTATAAGACTAGGGTTGTGGAATTATAATAAAAATACTTATCTTTATTTATGTCAATGTTAACAAAGGTAAAAAAATAGAAACTTAAACATTTAAGGATACAAAAATAATACAGAAATTTAAAATAAAATTAATAATTTTAATTAATTTTATTTAAAAATACATTTTAATAACGATAAATAAATAATTTATGCAAATCAACAATAGTTAATTATTCTATAAGTAAAAAAAAGGGATAGATTTCTATTTAATGGAAATATCAAATTTCCACGAGATAAAAAAAATTGGAGTGCACCCATTAACCACGCTGTTTTGTCATATTCTTAATGGGATAGTGCATTGCATATAGCATTGCATAAGGGGAAAGGCAGCGATTTCTGAAGGTATATTAAAGTACAAGTTGCAGAAGGCCACATATTCTCGCACGAATTCGAAATTTGGCCTCGAGCGACGAAGGAGCGAGTGGACGAACGAATGAGTGCGAGAATAGCCTTCTGCAACGTGTGATTTATACTATTTTCTCGATTTTAACTTTTATTTAGGTTTTTTTAATTGTTTTGTGGTCGTTGTAAGTTAGGGGATTTTTCTCGCAAAATGTCAGTTGGCAACACAAAATGACAATATTTGTTATCCTGCACAAGTACAACCTGAACTGCACTTTTTTACATTCAACTTAAAATTTTGCATTAAAATGCATTGTTGGAGCAAACTTAATATTACAAAAACAATAATAAAGGCTTCATTTTCAATAAAAGTAATGAATTTGAGGTTATTAATCAGTTTGACATTTTGGGGGTACCAATACTTAAAAACTAAATGTTACCAAAAATCGTTTAAGAATGAGCTTCATTCTTCAACGATTTTGCGTGCGAGAATATGACATTCTTACATAAAAATCGAGAAAATAATTTACAGCAAAATATTACACCCTTGGTTGTTTGAAAATTCTTAGACGTTTTCTAAATAATAATTATTACAATTTATTGTATAAGACTAGGGTTGTGGAATTATAATAAAAATACTTATCTTTATTTATGTCAATGTTAACAAAGGTAAAAAAATAGAAACTTAAACATTTAAGGATACAAAAATAATACAGAAATTTAAAATAAAATTAATAATTTTAATTAATTTTATTTAAAAATACATTTTAATAACGATAAATAAATAATTTATGCAAATCAACAATAGTTAATTATTCTATAAGTAAAAAAAAGGGATAGATTTCTATTTAATGGAAATATCAAATTTCCACGAGATAAAAAAAATTGGAGTGCACCCATTAACCACGCTGTTTTGTCATATTCTTAATGGGATAGTGCATTGCATATAGCATTGCATAAGGGGAAAGGCAGCGATTTCTGAAGAGTGTGAGGTTTGCTGCACGAGCGAGGCGAATGTAGAACACACTATTTAGAAATCGCCGCCTTTCACCACGAAATATGTACACTATTTTTTATGACAAAATGAAAATTCGACTTTCGCTGCCCTTTAAGAGAGAAAAATTGTTAATATTTAAGTTAATTCATAAACAAAAATATACCAAACTAAAGACAATAATTAGCATAATTAATAATATTAATTATTAAAGAACTTATGTTAAGCGAAAGTCGAATTTATTCTGCTAGTATCATGAAAAAGCATTGATTAATATAATACTTTTCTTTACGATTCTTAAAATGTGCTTAATAAAAGTGTTGCTGGGAAAAAAGTTTTGCTAACCAGAAAACGTATACTTTTCTTTACTATTTCTCTTAGTATAGTAGGTATGCTATTTTTCATTAAGAATACGAACAAATATAGCCTTAAAAATATACCCTTCAAAAAGAATTACTATAGTAATTAATATAATATTAATGGTAATTATTCAACCTAAAATAAATAGCAAGAAAAAATATAAACTAAAACCTTGAAGGTTAAAAAATAATAGGGATATTTAAAATTAAATATAAAATTAATTAAAACTTTTTAAACCCCACATTCCTAATACAGACATTATTTTATAAACATGCAAAATATCAATATTAAAAATTACATAGAAGAAAAATCACATGTTAAAAATTCATTTATATCTTATTAAAGTTGACTCCCTAAATACCGTATTTCTAGGAGACGCAATAAGGTAATGTAATGACGCAATATTGTATTACGGATATATACATATACATAAATATATACATCCTTAGTACAATATTGCGTCATTACAATTTGGCAACACTGTAGGACGCAATAAAGTCTGAACAAGCCATATAAAATTTAAAATAAAATATACACGTGACGCAATATTATATCAAGATTAAAATGAGTTGATAATGTAGTGACTTTTGAAAAAAAAGTGTATATCTTATTTTTTAAGATAAAAAAAATCTGACCAGATTTTTGGAATGAGCAAAAAAAGTACGCCAATATACTCTTCTATATTTTCGCTAAATACCGTATTTCTAGTAGACGCAATAAGGTCGCGAATTGTAATGACGCAATATTGTATTAGGGATGTATATATATATATATATATATATATATATATGTATATATATATAAGCTTTAAAATAATAGATTAAAAAAGTAAGATCTATAATTTTAATAAAATAGCATTTATTTATGGCTTCTCGATTTACGATTTGGTATCGCTAAGCTAGATCGAATTATTGTTTCGTGTGTGCTTCATATCTGCAACTATTATGCCTACCCTTACGCTCATGGCAAAGTCGAGTAAATAATAACAATAATAATAATAAAATAAACGTCTTGGCAAAGTCGAGTAAATAATAACAATAATAATAATAAAATAAACGTCTTTATTGAGAAAATAAATAAATAATCTCAAATGGCGAAATTTCACTTGTGTCAGAATAAACGCTTGAAGCAAACATATACGGTGTTTGTTAAATTTAAATAAAAAAATTCTTACCTCTTGCTGATAATTTTTTTGTATTTATTATTTTAGCGGCAAATTCCAACCCCGTAGATTTTTGAACACATCTTCTCACTACGGAAAAGGCACCCCTAAAAAGAAAGAAAAAATGTTAAATGACATTTATATTTCTAGTAAGGTGTTATTTACTTTGTTTGGAGTAAATGCGAAAACATAAATATAAAACTAACAATAAAACGTTTTACAATACTTATAACGCCATTATTTTTACTTATTTTGTCTAGTCTTTTAAATAAATAGATATATCTAGCCGTATATTTTACTGTTTACAAATTGATATAAATACCTCCATATCCATTGTTATAGAGCTACTTATTCTACTTATTTTTAGATATTTATGATATTCATAAATGTATAAAGCAAATCTATGAATATCATAAATATCACTTATAAAACGTTGGAAATACGTAGTATTTATGTAATACTTTAAATCGTATATTTAAACAACGTATAAAAAATTATTATACAAATTTCCAACGTTGTCTGTTATATTCGAGATTAATGACGCAAGGTAAAACATTTGCGGGACGGATTATTATTTTTATTTTTGTCTTTTATTAAGGTGCGTCGACTGCTGCGGTCATTGGCACCATAACCGGAGAGGAAAATCCTCACGGACACCCTAACATTACGCCGGGTAGTGCCTGACTCTTACCGGCTAAAAACCTCTCCTGACTACATTTAACAAAAATATCAATAAATAAACAGGTAAGCATGATTAAATAATAAAATAAATGACATACACTAAAATGGGACATGGTATCCAGGTGTTACTTTAAATTTTATTTAAAAATCCAATTTCACTAAGAAAGTTAAGAACTTGTTCAATATGAATTGAATTATATTCAAGCATTTCTTTTAGTTGGACGTTAAATATACTATTGTTTACGCTTTTATGATGTAAAGAGAGACATTTAACAATAATGTGTCTCACCGAAAATACTTTACCACAGCCTTCACAGGTAGTTACCTCAGCACCTTCCAGGAGGTAACATTTGGTAAGATTGGTGTGACCCAACCTTAACCTTGTTATAACAACTTGTTGCTTACGGCTCAACGTAGATGTTTTGCATCCACTTACCAAGTCGGTTATATTATTTAAAAAAGTATCCTTTTCTGCCCATTTCTCATTCTATTTCGCTATAATCCTATCTTTAATTAATCTTTAATTTTAGGCGTTGAAGATCGTCCAGATATTAAAGTCCAGGGGTAATTATTGGGAACAAATAAAGAGTTGCCGACCGGCATGTTTAGGTGCAATTCATCACCAATCAGTCTGGCCTTGAAAATAGATGATGTGTACCAAGGATTTCTCAAGGGTACGATATCATTAATAAGATAAGGGTGGACAAAGTTGGCAATTCCCCATTTTCTGCACTTGGCAATGTAAGATAGTGATAAAAACAATCTTCTGTTTTCTAAAGACATAATACCAGATTCTACGTAAAGACTATGATTGAGTGTTGTCGGAAAAGCTCCTACAGCATATCGTATTCCCACATTGTGTAACGCATTAAGTGGTTGTAATGCGGACCCATATACAACAGATCTGTAGTCCATCTTGGAGATAACCAGTGATTTAAAGAAGGTAAGTAAAGAATCTCTATGTGCTCCCCATTTAGTACGGGCAAGACACTTGATCAAGTTAAGGGCTTTTAAAACTTTTTCCTTAAAATAGTCAATATGATTGTTTCAGGCAAGACGTCCATCCCAAATGAGCCCAAGGTATTTTAATTCTTCCACACAATTTAAGGGATTTCCCTTTAGAGTTAGGAATAGACGGTAATGGAGAGTCCTCAAGTGGCAAAAATGCATAGTTTTTGATTTGGAGGGAGGAACTTGAAACCTCTATCTTCGCCCGCTCGTACAATCTGATCTTCTGATCTATGGCCATTTGCATTTGTCTATTTATGTTTGTGTTTATAGGTCCAGAAATAAAAATCATAAAATCATCGACGTACACACTGCTCTTAACGTTAACACAGATTTTATTTAAAGCAATGGAAAAAAGAGTAACGGGTAGAACCTTGGGGCACTTCATTCTCCAGAAGACGACGACCTAAACAGACATTTTCAAGACGAACACGAAAAAATCTTTCCTTTAGAAGGGACTCAAAAAATAAAGGTAAGTTTCCACGATACCCCCACTGGTGAAGGTATACCTACCTATTGTAGAATCCCCAATCTCCACGTCATGTCGTAGGCCTGTTAAAGAAGGCGGCTGTCTTTTAGTAAAGCCTGCCTGAATATTCTGTTCTAGATATATTGTATTAATTATTATTATTATTATTATTATTATTCGGACGCAATACTAATACAATAATTTTTACGTTAAAATTAAGAAGATTAACTTGTTGCACTGTAGTTCGGGCTTGAGCTTGGTAAGAACACCAAAAAAAGGTTTAAATTTAAATTTTATTTAAATCCGTTTAGGAAGGGGAATTTTGAGACTATTCAACAGGGCCGCCGAGAGGGGGGGCAAAAGGGGCACATTGCCCCAGGCCCTCAACGGCCCTTGGATTTAAAAATAATTCAAAAATTGGAAACAATGAGTATGTTGATTTAATAGTCAATTTACTTTTTAGTAAAAATATTTGTATGAAACCCACAATAACTTGATAATATATTTTATGTAACTGAGTTCAAAATAATAATAATATTAATTTTCCTCTGAAAGGAAAAATAATTAATCTTCAATTGCATTATCAATTTGTACTGTAATTTTAAAATAAAGAATATGGAACCTTTATAAATTAAGTTAAGCTTAAAGGTCATAAACATATCGCTAAGTAGTTTTCTTTTATTTTTAAATAAATATTAGAAAAACGATTTACGTAACTGCAAATAACTGCAATAAAGGCAAATTCACACAAAATCTACGGGTTTACGGAGCGGTAGGATATGATACCGGGGTAACTCAATACAACAAATGGATGATATTAAGAGCAAATTCGTATGACTTCTGGTTAAATTGCGACTTTAATAACATGTGGTAGCTATAGCTGCCTCTTATTTAAGTTTTTTCAAGCTTTTGAATCCGGGCTCTATTTTTTACTAAGTGTACTATATTATTTTCAATTTTTTTAGTATTAACTATTGTGTAAAAATAGTTACCCTTCCTTAACCCCCCACCCCCAACATTCAAGTCAGGGGGCCTCAAGAATTAAATTTGCCCCAGGCCCCCTGTACACTCTCAGGGGCCCTGCTATTCAAACAAAGTGTTGTTAAGGTTTAATTAAAATCGCCATACCTACTTTCTGGAGAACTCCTACTAAGTAGGAGTCTTAACCCCTTTTTAAAACGATTTGTGACAGTTAGTTAATTCTTTTTGAGCGTGCATTGTGTTAACCCCGTGTTCAATTTTATTATTTCAAAATGAAAAATGTTTATGAAGTATGTAGAATAACATTATCTTATTACATTTACGAAAAAAATGTTTTCTTTGTTAAAAGTAATTCTAAACTTAGGCCCAACTTTTCTATTATTTCACAACCAGTTGGGTTACAAAAACTGTCCAAGTTTGCCCAAGCTGATTTTTACTGGAAAACGTTCCTTAAACTGTCTATTAGTGGGTTCTTCAAAAATTGGCTGCGAAAATTAAAAAATCAATAATAAACGTGTCCAGGCGCGTTTATAACAAATGAAAACAAGACTTGATTTCATTAATGGTTATTATCGGTCAGAAATTTATTTTTAAAGTATGAACTAATGATTTAGGGGGCTCCCTTGAAAAAAAAAACAAAAATTGGTAAATTACGGACACCCATGGTGTTATTTTATCAATAAATCTAAGTTTAGCTTTTAACATTTAAAACTGCATTTTAGAAAAAGCACAGTTTATTATAATTTTAACATTAAAGTTAAAAGGTAAAGAACCATTGCCCTATGCTGTTATTTAACTTCTTGAACCTATTCAAAAAAGTACAGTTCCAGAAACAGAGGATTTTGATTTATTATATTGCATTTTTTACTGAAATGTATTTTATTTTATTATTTCCCATTTGATAATTATTACAGTTCGTAATCAGTAACTACAAACCCCCAATTGTTAACATGTTCTACTTGATAAACTAATCACGGTGCTCAGGAAGCAAAGGCAAGTTTCATAAAAAAAATGTTTTTAATTATTTATTGCAATAGTCATTTTTTGTGTTTTTAGAAACGCTTAACATGGACGTTTTTATAAAAATTTAAAAAAAAAATTCAATTTAAATCGCAATAAAAAGTTGTAAAGGAAATACGAAAGTGTGTTCGTACGTTTTTTGTAATGTTAAACTTACATATAGTAAAGTATTTTGCACATACGGATTTAATGGATCACGATAAAATTTATTTATTTAATAAATTATATATTAATATATAATATAATATAATATAATAATAATATAATAGGTTTTTGTCGAGGCATAATAAAGTAATTTTTAATAACATATGTAAGTGCATGAATATATATAACCTCGTCAAAAGTAATTTGTATCCCGAACATTTAGCAGTCAATTCCCCTGAATTGTCCCCTGAATCCGAAAATGTCGTCAAAAGTTAAAAAAGTAAAAGTTTTCCATAAAATATGGAATTGACTATATCCCAAAAACTGCTATGCTTTTATAATTTTTGACGGTATTTTCGGATTCAGGGGACCATTTTACATAATTGGCTGTTAAATGTTGGGATACCATGGTATCCCATGGTTAACCATGGTACCTATAAGTGAAAAAGCAGTCAATAATAACTGTAGTAATTATAATTACTACTTTTTATAATAACTATAGTCATTTTTAACTTATTCATTTTTAGAGAGCTTATTTTACAAAATTAATTTAAACCAAAATATTTAATTATAAAATTATCCTATATTCATTACTTAATAAATATACGTATACTTAAATTATTATTTAAATTATTATAAACGACTATTTCCCTCGTCTTAATTTCCACCAATCACAAACGCGCAATTTTGAATTACAAATGGTTTCTAGGTGAAAAAACTGTGTGACAGCACCTGTCAGCAGTTTATTCGAGTTTACCCGCGGCAAAACTTGACAGCTGTTGTCACCAACAATTGCAATTTATA